ACGGAAAAAGGAGTGGCAGACTCGTAGTCGATCACCTTCACATCCTCAACGAGGTCACTCGTCATTGATAGCGTGCGGAAAGCGCGACGCTCGTGCTCATCGAGCCTAGGGTGTACATCCTCCGGGTGCCGCGGACGCACTGTCCGACATCGCACCGCGGGAGACGAAGTTGGGCTCTGCCCGTGCTCGCTGTCAGAACCAGCGAGACTTAGTGACTTCCGTGTCGTGGACACAGGGCTCATTGTGCAAGGAAGTTGTTTAATCCCAACAAATTGAGTTGCAGTGTCTAGCTGACACGCGAGCCTCGTTGAAGAAATAATGGATTAGAACTGTAAATGTTCTCAATCTTAATGGGGAGGGTGTAACGGGGTTACACGTACCCTGATAACAGGGGTGTATGGCACACGAGATGTGCATGGTGTGACCACACCAAAACAAGAATACGATTTGTGGCTAGGTAGCCAGTAGTTATGCCTGTATTTAGATTTTACTATATATATTTAGTATATCTAGGAAAATAACTTAGAAATGAGGATAAAAAGATAAATAACGGAGGAGTAATTAGCCTTGGGTGAGGCAATAATTACTCTTGGAGTAAGCGGATTGCGATCCGCTAACTCGTACTTGTTCTAAGTATAGAACAAAAGGTCGGTGACAAAAATTACGCTTCCTCAAGCGCTAAGCTACGGCAGCCCCGCTGCACCGCTTCATGATTGTTGCAGCCAGGTCAACCAAAAACATTTAAGATATGAAGTTACGCTGAAAACTATTGCAGATGACAGAGTTAGATAAGTCCAAGGACACTATCTGTATGGATATAGACTATAATTACGTCCATATGTGGGCATAGTATACAAGTGGATTCTATAATCAGCAGTCGTAATGCAAATGCATTATGTGGCAAAAAAACCTGCACCTCTTACACAAACGTTGGAATGGGATTGCTGTGCAATCTGTACAGGAATCGTTGACTCTCAGGGTCCCCGCTAACAAATGCACAGAGATTAGGTTTGTGCACTTCTTCAAAGAGCGGAACCGACATCCGTAATGTAACAAACACTTCGCTTTGCTATTTACTAGTACATGTATAAAGAATTTGTTTTGTTTAAAAATTACTAAATCTGTACCTTTTCTATAATATATAATAAAACTGTCGCAATTTCCCGCAACCATATGTAAATCTCATAAATACCGATATCTCAATACTTTTGAATATTCAAAATTATATTAAGTATAATGTGAATTTCGTTCAACTGTACCGATTGTGTAATGGTTAAGTACGTAAGATTACTGCTCTTGCCCTGTTAGCTGAATTCTGAGATATTTCTCGGTTGGAACAATAATTATGCGATTGAGATACGAATACTATAAAGTATTTCGCGTTGGTGCCCTTTCTGATTTTAATATTGTCTTACATATGTCACCAATTTATAATATTGAATGGTGATTGGTGATTATTATGTGCTGTCTCAAAAAAATTGCTGCTGTCCACAGCAAGTTCAACGTTGTTTATAGATGTATCGTTTGCTGAGGGTTTCAGTATTTTGCGAACAGCGTCCACACTGTTGTCTTTAGCTAAACCGCAGTTATTGTTGTTCATCGGTTTTTCTAAAGCGTTAGGATTGCCAGCTTCGACTGCCTCAGAATGTTTAAAACCACTATAAGCAATATCTACTGTTTCTCAAGCTTGCATATTTCCCTAAAGGCACTTGGCTTTTTGGTGCTGTTGTCCGCAACTCTGTTGTTAACCTATGTTTTCGATATATAATCGCATCTATCGGTATACTTTCCCGGTCATCTTACCTGCTTATACTCCAATACATGACAACACCCGGTCTCAGCTCCATGATGATATTGAGAGTGGGAGAGTGTAACTTACAAGGCTTGAAGTCTCAAGACTCACACTACGATTGTATATCTCGTAGCGTGTCTTGTCAAGCTTTCTGTGGTAGACTGAGTCTTCTTCTTAAAGTTATTGATGGTGACATATCGGCGGCTTTCCAATGAAGCGCACGCTCAGTGCGCGTGAACACTGTCAAAGTGACCAATTGCGGCACTTGCTCTGCTACATCGTACGAGGTCAAATTATTTAAAATTAAGCAACAGCACATATCACAACCTTAAATCTTTATCTGGCAGAGCTGCGATTTGTAGGCACGTGCATGTGAATACTATGACATCACAAGATCAGCTCGCGCTATATCTCTTCTAAGCGAGACTTCATTAACTATATTGAAGTCTCGCTTAGAAGCGGCAAACTATGCATTCATTGACTTACAAATAATGCGAGTGCAATGGACAAAAATACTGATCATCCAATTGCTGCATCAACATCGTGAACATTAGTGATGCCGCTAAGCCAAGCGATTATGAGAGACCAAGGATGAGAAAGAGAAGCCGCTCACACAACTGCCTGAATCTGGTAAGTTGATCGAGACCAAGGATGAGAAAGAGAAGCCGCTCACACAACTGCTTGAATCTGATGAGTCGGCTTCAAATCATCCAAATATACAGCTCGGAGATCCTCGATCACGACAGGGTACGCACTGGATACACGGACCCTGTCGCTACGATATGCAAGCTTGTTAATTGCTACTTGAGCAAGTAAATAATCAATTAACCCTTTAGCTAATATATTCAACGACATTGTGGCTTACGTAATTTCAAGACGACAATATCAAGGTGTTGTGTTTACCTAACTTATTGTATCGAACGCGGGAGGGCAGACACCCCATCGCAAATTTTCGACGAAACTAAAGAGCTTCTTTGCATCTGATGGCCTATTGAACACAAAATTTTTATCACACGTCGCAGCGAATGTTCTGGGTAGTTATATTTCATTCGTACTTTAGCTTTCTCGTCATTATTGTGTTATGTTGATTATAATATACTCCGACTGGAACGTGTGCAGTGCCGAGTTCGCCTCAAACGGAGGGGCAGTCCGGTCTAATACTGACACTAGACAACCGCCGAAGAATGCTCATTATTCTTGCTCAATGGTCCATGGAAGTCAGAGCTGCTTGGCCGATTTGAACTGCCGCTACCGTGGCATATTAGCAAAGGTGCAGTCTTTGTCATCAAAGAGTAGCATGGTGCACGGAGCTTTGTGTTGAAAGCTGCACTGTGACAAGGCAACAGGCTGTCACAGTCGAGACCAACGATTTTCAACATGCCTGTTTGTAAGACTTGTCGTTATGCAGGACGTTTATTAAAAATGTCTAAACCTTAACGATTCCAACAAAGCAACGCAAAGACAGCAATATTAGGCGTCGCCACCGCTAGGAGTTGGAAACCAGCCCCTGACTCTTCAACATTCTCGTGCATTGAAAACAGCTACCATGTCGTATGCAGAGCTCCACGATTTGACCAGGTTATTCTTCTGCAAAATCATCACCTACGTTGCAAGCTACCCGGCAATTATTATATTCTTCGCATCACAAATACGCATCACAACATGCTCGGTTGCGCATTGTAAGGCATCGACAATGGATAAACTCTCGTTTGAGTTTGACCTTCACAACTTGTCGTCCCACTTTTGTTTTTTACCGTGCACGCAATATTATCTCTTGACAACTAGAATCTCGAGGGCCTAGATTCGGCGATACAGGCCTTAACTCAAGAATTATAGCCCTTGGTCGTGTCAGCGATCCCCGGAATACGCATTTCTCTGCGTATCATCAAGATCAAAGCATGCGTAGTGGTCTGCTGTGAACGAACGGCTTCATGTTTGGTAATTCATATGAGTAGCTTACTGGTCTATATAACTAACACGCTGATCGACTGTAATGAGTATGACATTCTTACAGCGTTATGTACAACAAACGTATTGTCTCAGCGTCGCTTCTAATTTCGTTAGATATATGCAACCATGTATTCTGAAATTTTGCTCCGCCCATTGTTATTTTAGAACCACCACCATTGTCTTGAGCAAGAAGAGACAAAACAGAACTATAAATCGCTTGTTATACATGAATTCGCCACATGAAGAGTTGACTGCTAATTCTTTAACGGGAGCGTATCTAGTTCTAAAGAACTCAATCGAGCACGCCACACCACACCCCACTGATTTTTCAGAAAAGAAATTGGCACATCATGCGATGTTTTGCGCTAAAACTTCAATATGTGAGCTTCTTCCTTACCTTTATGTCAAATAGTGCATGATGGTGCTTAAAGTATAAAGCTGAGCAATTTAACAAACTTGCGCGAATCGTCGATTCAGTTGAGAGCTATAAATCATCCATCGTTTGAAAATTGGTAACTTCTCAACGTAAAAATCTCTTTTGACCGTACAACTACTTGTCATCGACGAAGATATCTTTGATACTTTCATAACGATAACAGAACCGTGACCGCCATACAAAAAAATAAATTTGCTTCATTGTAGACTGTCAGTATTCTGAAAGTCGATTGAGTACTTGAAGCCTGAAAAAGGATTTAACATGTAAGTATTTTTAATCCGAGACTGCTCGGACGCGATAATGATGTTTTAGCATCGCTTACTTTTAAAATATAGAGGCTTTTACCGAAGTGAGCACTGTGTGTAATCGTTACCATTAAGCGCTAACAAAATTGTGCAAACAGTTGCTCGTGTAATTCTATCACATGATTCTGCCGAGCGAATAAATATTACTTGACTGTAGACTGCGTACCAAGCATATTAGAAAAGTGCTTGCTTGCCCTGAAACCTATTACGCACGATTTTTAAGCAAGATGTAGCTGCATATTGATTACTTGTGGCTTTATGTCGTATGATTATTCTGACGCTGAGAAAACTTTGTACAACGCGTTGTGTGAATTATGCCGAATTTGATAAGATAAGACAAAGTCAGAGTCCGTACTAGCGCAAAATCTTGTCGGACAACCTTCTTGAGCACAACCAGCGCAGATCATCAGGTTCTTGATAAAGGATTTTGAAATATAATGCAGATGACATGTTAGAAATAGCGCTTTAATGTATGCCGTAGCCTCGGATCTTCTTATCATTTCAAAATTTCGGCCACAATCAATCGCACGCTAAAAGATCAGAAATACGAAACGACTGGCAAAATACTTATAATGCTTTATCACCTAAAGTTTTGTTTATCTGAAGGACGGTTCATGTCAATGGTGAGTTTTAATTTTCTGGAAACGCAAACAAATCGTCTGAGTCAAATAAAAAATCAGTTACCTCAATGATGTGATATCAGCACGAGACGATGCATGGATTACACGTGTGTACACAATTGCATCAAATAGCAGCAAACAAGCGAGCATGTTATCTGAGTGCGAAAGACAAAATATTCAGTATTTTGAGAGGCAAAGGGCATCGTCACCCTACCAATTAAGCATTTTCTCGCAACACAAACACATGTAGATGCAAGAGAAGACGCAGAGCATTTCTGAGTATCAACATTAAATCAACACACTTAACGGCGATCGGCTGCATCTCGAGCATTAAAGTACATTCGCAATAATATAAAATCAAGAAATTCGAGATTACACACCAGAAAAACCGATGCAAATATTCGCCGCGACAGAGTCTGTTAAACGTGGAACTTAACGGAATTTCAAGACATCAGTAATGTTTCCATATCGCAGCTCCACACAGAAACAGTATACAAATGTTTAGAGCGATTGATGAAAGAAAGTTGCATTTTACCAAGTATGAACTTGATCCGTTTTCGTCTGGAATGTTACGTCCTCGAAATTTATCAAGAAATGGTCGAGATAATTTTGCTTCGCCCGATCAAAAGTTTGCAAAATGCCTTGCTTCATCTGGTCAACATGTCATCTACGGAAACTATCGAAATATTTGCTTTGCCGTGCTTTCCAACGTAAACGATGGATGACACTTGAGCACGCACACACCCCACACTACTTTAAGCATTTTATCGACTACGAGCGACTGTGACCCGACAGGTTTATCGATCACCTACGAATACGTAAAAGCTCACTTTGACGCATAACTTCTTACATGTCTATTATTGAAAGCTTGATCATCACTGACGTGTGAAATACCATTCTCAATTTTAGCATTGCTAGACGTCGGCTTCATCTGCGTAGACTAGACGTCAATTGTAAAACTCCATACACCCTTTTAAGGAATACGAACATTAGCGTCCCAATAAGTTTGCTCAAAATAACTGTCACTTTTTGGTCTGTTGAGATTTGCATTCGCAATTTCAAGCGCTTGAAAGCAAGGGTTGACAGCTGCAATAGAGATACTTGAAACAGAAGTCTACATCAAATAACTGGTTACGGTTAATAGTTAGGGGCTAAGAACACAAAGGCGTGAGTGTGGTAGCAAAACAAGAGTATCTGTCTCTGCGGCTGTATGAACTTCCAGCGTGGCATAAGCACTCTATTCTATCTGATGCTATTAAGAGTACAGATATAGCCGCGGCTGCACTTACATTGTAGTGCTAATGCCCGCAGACGAATTAAATAACATGGGTTGCTCGTCGGGAAGGAAAGTCATTAGAGAACTGTTAAAAAGCATCTGCTTACACCACTATAGTCGGCTAAAATGTTCCTCACAATCGCGACGCATCATACAATTATGACCTTATGCCTAACAAAACCTATCTGTCCCTTCTGATTCCTTTAAAATCAGCTCAGCTCTTGCTAAACCCGTAAGTATCGTGAAGACTATCATACAATACTTTCGTAATGAAACTATTGCTGTCTAAAGGGAGGACTTTTAACACATGTTGCAGAGCTTGTAGCATTACAATTTTGAAGCAGCAAATTGTTCAATACAGCAGTTGTAAGTCACAAGCTAGATTTGCTCACTTTATTACCAGTGTAGCCAATCCCAGTGTAATATCGCAAAAGGGTGCCAATTAGCGTCCATTATGGACACAGATGAGTAGATATGCTTGAAAAAAGGACCGATTTTGCCCATCCCTTTAAACTAACACACCTCTGGCAGACGTATCCACAGGAGACCAGTCGTCATTCTGATCGCCTCCGACTATCGCATTATCTAAACTACTGCAGCGAGATTAATTCGTTAGTGCTGTCACTAGAAATGTGTACCATCACGTGCCACTTCGAGCAATGCGAATGCCTTTATTCGACATTGTTCATGACCGAGTACAAACGGTAGGAGTATGATTGACTAACCTAATGGAAGTAATCGAGGTCCTTGACATCTATGCCTTATCTTATCTTTTGCCACAGAACCAACCGTACCAAGAAAACAAAGGTAATCCAAGTTGTATTGTAGCCCTGGCATTCTCTCTCTATTCACAACTTATCTAAAATGATATTTGTCCGTAGATCCTGCGCTGTTTCCCGCACTGCTGTCCTAAGCACGTCAATCGCAGCTATTGTGGCTCATCACTTCGTGTGCGCGTTGAAATTGTCAACTCTGCACGCCTTCACGCACAGCCACAAAACAAGACGACTGAAGTTATTGAAAGCAATCCTTCAAATTTACTGGTGTATGGGCACTTCGAAGAAGCACACACACAGTTTTTGGCTATCAACGATTTAATCGACAATAGAATTGTGACTGACTTCATTCAAACAGAGCAGACACCAAAGGGTACTTGGATTGGGGGTACTGTCGTGAGCGACTCCGTTACTAATGTACGTCGAAGTGAATTTTTTAATTTGACATTGTATGCTAAAGATACGTATATTTTCAAAATTCAATAGCGCGAATGCATATTCCAACTTAACCCTGGTGCACGTTGGTATTACGAATGGGAAAGTGCAGCTACTAAGTCTCAACGCTTCACAAAACACGCACTTCGAGTTTACATTTTTGAGCGTGTCTTGTCGAAGTTTCGCGTGCTAGGCCTGGTTTCCTCAACCGATTTCATGATCGTGTCTTATCGACGGTCTACTGCTGAATTAAATGCTGGACACGAAGCCTTCGAGGTCTCGCGCGCAGTCCAGCAAAACATCAATTCAGATGGCAATGAAGACGGAAAAAATCGCGCTGCAATAGCAAGCAAAGTATCAAATGTTGAGCAACCCTTACATTCAACCTTCAAAGAAGACATATGGCAGAGCTGTATACTGTGGGAATACAGACATCCGGACATTATGAGATCGTCAAAGCAGCTTGCTATTCTCTTTTACTTTGTAAACCATGTGAGCGCATTGCCGTACAAAACCTGTTTGCAGCAACTTCGTAACAAATATAAAAGACAAATTGAAGACTTCAACTCAGAGACAAGCTATGGGGCTGCAAAGGGCATTGGCGCTGGTCACCACGTCATTGCATCGCTATCGTGGACGTTTCTCAATTCTCTTGAACGTTTGCACTGTGCTACATACAGATATCAAAACAATCGCAATGCTAAAGTTGGAGAGGAAGTTTCGCTTACGCAACTGGTTGAGATCTGCACTGGTCTGGTGGTGTGGCTCGCACTTGACAATGACAATTTGAAAATCTATCGCTCAATATTTCAATCCTCTGGCACAGCGCTTCTCGATTTAACCAGGTTACGTGCTGGATACGTAGAGACTGTTGCGATGATATGTAAGCTTGTGAATCGCTACTTCGATGACCCAGTTGACTCTCTGCCACTTCTATGCGAAGAAATTGTTACCGCCGTGTTTCAAAACGAACAGTTGAAGCTACTGCGACGTGAGCTGTTGGACCTTCTCTCGTCCAACACAATGCATGGAATGCAAGATTTCGTGGCACAACTTCGAGCGCAGTATCTACTGCAGCAGAGTTGCTCAGCCCCACATTGCAATTTTCTACCACAGCAAAAAAAACAATACACTTCTGCTTTTGATGGACTCTGGGTCTTCAATGGACACGAATCTCTGATCACACCAACGAAAGGATCAAACGCGAATGATGTATCGCTAGGAAAACTTATAACTTTCATGTGTGAGCTCGCTCGAGTCAGCATTCGCCCAGTGGATTGTCATTCGCTTCAGATTTTCTCTGAATGGAATGTCTGCAATGTCAACGAAAGCAAAAGTCCGTCGACAACTGATAGTATTGCCGGTCTGAAACTTGTGCTGGACAACCGACAAAGAGTATTTAGCAACTTTCCAAGCGGTGTCTCAAGCTCAATAACTCATTGCGGGCAGCACTTTGGTGACTATTGCGGAAAGCTAATTTCGCCTAGCAATTTCGCAATAGAACTGCATTCTTGGCCAGCGAAAAGCAGTATAGTGCATCAAGCACTTCGTTATAAGCTTGATATTGGTATGAAGACAACTCGTGATATTCAACATTCTAATAGAAGAGCAAGAAGCCTTTTGGTGAAAGCCGTCGTCGAGGAGGGCGTTTGGCGGGCAGATATTAGTATTCAAGGTATGAAGTTTCAAGTGATGCCTTTTAAGCGAAAGACTGCGTCAGTAAAGGCATGGAATTCCGTTTACGAAATGTTAGGTGTTTATGACCGTATCTGTTAAATATAGAAGATATTGACACGTCCACTGCTCTTTCATATTTTGCGTACGGTTCGAGCTTCTACTAACAAACATTTTAGTCGAAAAAATGGACAACTTTCAGAAAAACAACCAAACACATGCTAATTGTACTTTGGGATGGTAATCAAATATGCAGCTAACCCTTCAACGAGAGATAAGTAATGTAAATGTTAAAGGCTAGATAGAATAAAGCCAAGAGCATCATTTAAACGAATGCTGAAATATTCAATGTTTGGGCGTATGTATATTGTCAACTTGCTTTGATTAAGGCAAAGCAATGACAATAATATGCGTTGAGCAATCGACTGGAAGCTTTGACAGCGCTAAGATACCTTGGAATGGCTTTACCTCATTTCGATAATCGTAATGGAAACCTGCCGAAAGCAAAAGAAATTATGCACCATTTGATTTTTCCTTACAACCGGAAAGGTACGAAGCTTAGTATAAAAAATACCAACCGAAAAACAGAGATAACATGATTTACGCAAGTATTTAGCCGTTTAGACTCGATATATCATCTTTTAAACTGATTTCTCGTGGAAGAACGATTGGCACACAAAACGAATTGCTTGTTAGCCATCATCCTCGTTAATCATCTAAGGCATTCAAGAAGTGTTAGGAGTGTTACTAACTCATTATGGGTCAACGTACATGAAGCTCGCAGATGATGCTCGCCATATCGCAAGAACTTGATACGGAGTGACAAAAAAGTGAAATGTCAGTTGTTCACGTACCCTAATCATATCTACCAACATAAAAGCTGATTGGATCACAAGTAAAAAGTACTGAAGTGTCAGTTTACACTGATCAAATGAACGTACAATCATGTTGTCGATGTCACATCAGCATAGCAATAAGGACTTGGAGCTGCCCTATTACAATGCTTTAGAGTTCGATAATTAGCTCCTCATCCAAAGCGTCTCCATTTCAACGATAGTAATTATGTAACATGATCAGCGATACCTGCAGACACAATTGCAGCTCTTCAAACATGTCGTTGGTCTCATTTTTAAGAATCAAAAGGTCTCACAATATGCGTGTAGCTGGTCGGTCACCTGCAATATATCAGGCCTTCATCGCTGCGTTGGCACTTAAACTGCTCGTAAATAACAGACGCCACCACGATCAGACCTGCGCACTCACTGTCGTGCGATATATGGACGCTTAGATTTGAAATTGAATTGTGATTCATGCTATTTCTTGCAAGGGAACGGAACAAAATGTGTTGATTGTAAGATATGTCTCATCATAAATAAATTCTACATCAAATACGATGTGACACAAGCACCAATCAGCTTTTAGCGTCTACCACTCGTCGCGTCCATGTAGACCAATCAACGATGGAGGACAAAACCTGCAGTTTGTATTTGTTTAGCTCGACTTGACTGGCACAATTTATTATGATGATGGTATAATCTATACGAAGGTCTTTAACGTAGCCTTCATGGTTGACCACTGGGATTTATTGAGCTTATGGGTTAAAAAGAACATATAAATGCTAGAGACTCACTATCAGAGCGAAAGCCTCAAATTAATTATTATCGATTACCGCTGGCGCTTTGTTGTCTTCTTAACCCACGTTCTTCCATCGTGTAGCGGACCAGTCAAAATCATCGAGTTCCACCAGCAGAACAGCCTTACAAGCAATATACTACTTGTTAGTCCTAGCGCACGAAAAAGATGCATGGTCAAGTCGGCCTATCTGCGATACCATTTACTCAAACGATGTGACAAGCTTCATCCAGACCGAAGAGAGACGTCCATAGCGCCTGAATCGCAGGTGTTGTTGATGGTGGTACAAAAACTATTGACACAGCGTTTAGACATGTAAATACGGAGAGTTCTTCTGTACCGCAGGCATGCAAGCATTTCATTAAAAAAATTGACACTGTTATGATGTGATACTTGAATAACAAGAAACTAGTACTCTGCTGCGTGGGCAGTATACTAGGAATCAAGCGCTATCAGCGCGCAATACGTCATTGCTGAAATCGATACCACTTTCCTGACAAAGTGCAGCGAGCGTCAATATTACTACGCTATGACGGTTGACAGCGTCTGAGACTAGAATTATCTGATGGTTTCTTCCCGCGCTAATAGTCTTGATCTCTAATAAAATATCACCTTTACAAAGCTAGACGCTAATAATGTATTAAAATTAGTAGAAGCGACACAAAAATCTCAGCATCTGTCGTCTCCTCAATCCCGACTAACGTTTATTCTCTGCCGCGTTGTTTTGTGACTTAAAAACTTTACATACTGTATATAAAGGACTTGCTGACCCTCTACCTTGTCTGATCAGCATTTGATTAGAACCGTCGGATCGCTTCACTTAAAAGCCTTTTTGTATGCCAATTTAACTTATTGAATCTCCTTGCTTATATTAGAGCGTACTTATTGTATGTGCACAAAACTAGTAATTTGCGGCGTCGAACTAGCCGCGAGCAATTGACCTGCCATAGCAGCGATGAGCGCACGTTAATATTGAAGGAACAAGCCATCTGGGTGCAGGGCCTAAATATCTACTTATATGCCTTTAAAACGAACACCCTTACGTCCATTGCGGTGACGGTGTGAGGTCGTCGACATTATGACTTTTATAAGTTGACAACTTTGTGTACCCAGACCACATGGCGTTGAGTAAATATGTTTGCTCTATTTACGATAAATAGGTCCCACATAAAGGTTACAACATTACGAAAATCACAAAGTCTGACGCAGACAAATAAATGCCTTAAAGGTAGCATTACGGTAAAATTCTTCATTTATCTGAAAGGAATGCCCATAAAGACACGGTCACGTCATTCTTTAGACAAATGAATGAGTGCAAGATGTTTAGAAATATCTACGACGATTGCCCACGATTATACCAGCACACAACATAGAGCATCATAAAAAATCGAATAATTGTACACAGATGATTATAAGTATCAAGACGAATTTCAGTCGTTCACACATCTAGAAAGAGAGATAAACCTCCGCAAAATTCACAGCCGATCCCAGTGAAAGCATAAGTGGATAAACCAAGGACCAAGATACAATACTCCATGCAATTTGCGCTGCACAGCCAATGCGACTAATCGAATTTGAGTGGTGTTTTGGAGATATGCGCACTTTCGCTGACTATTTTATACAGTAAAGATTATTTTTTGGGAACTGTCCCCAAGTTGATTACGATGCGGTCCCATAAAACACGCTGTTAATTTGAAGTCGTCTCGTTCGTGTGGACCAATCAACTTTTGGGGTACATGATTCATCGACTTAAACGAGTTGACTAGCTCCAACCAGACCGGAACGGCGTCTATTTGCAAATTGCAGGTGATGTCGTGCCCACTAATGGTACAGATGTTATTAGCGCGCGTAGACATTTAATACACTATAATTTTTATTTGTCAAATTTGTTGACCGTCATACATGCAGGCAGTTTTGATGTTATACCTGCTCCATCATAAAATTAACATAGCTAAGTACAGTGCAAAAATATTTTTTGTTGTTTCATATTGATATTATCAAATTCGGAATCTTACTATGTTTTGGCAGCAGCTTGCATGGTAACTTGAGTCACAGGAAGGCCAACTTGCTTCAATAGGAATATCTTAAAAGATGTTTTTATCAACGTGAAGTGGTGTGTTGCCCAAATTGCCGATTTTGGCTTGTGCACATATTCACGAACCACTTATCATCAGTTAAGCCGCGATATAAAGCCACTCAATTGCACAGCGGTGCCACGACATGGCGATACTCATGAAGTAGATGCGATGTTGTCGGCGATTACATATCAGACGATTGATTTTAAAGTACTGCATTGACTGACTGCATACAATATGAGAGTTGCCAGTTTGAAATTTTTTAAAGCTTATTGTTATCGATAGTGCAATTGTAAATTCCTCTTTTCCGATCTGAAAATTAACGCTTTGTTTTTGTTGTAGTAAAGTAGCAAACTACCTACTTCATTGACCTGGTTGATTGTCTGTAGATGTACTTAGCAGCGTCAGGAAGCACGCGTTGTCCTACCCGCGAATGGAATGCACTGATTTGCCGACTTTAAAAGCACTCCATGGCTCGCAAATTATAATGCTGTAGCTCGCTGAAGGACATAAACACAAAAGCGTTTGCTACACTGCAAATGCGCTATGCAGACTGGTCTTATGAGCTATGCTTACATCGTTTACTCTTCATGCAGTTAAAACTCTAACTTGAGTTTCGCCGCCACTTTACATTAACATCGTTCATTTCTACTCAACAGATTGAGAACCCGAGCAATTTCTTGTAGTTCATGTGGAGCTGGCCCAGATCAATTTTACGCATCGTGGAAAACCAAGAGCACATGCATCGCAAGCATGGATAGCCAACAAATACTAGCTATTTAATTCGATAGGAGTTGATCTGAGCGCAGTCTTGATTGCATAGCATTGTCATGAGGCAATGTCGAGATGTAAGGCACTAGATCCCAGAGTTTCCGAAACCGAACACAATCAGAGTTATCATAAATTATTGCTTGGATGTGGGGACTCGTTTTTGCACCATAGCCGGAATTTATTCATTTATTTCCTTTTAAACGCCGTTTTTACAGAAATACTCTAGAGAATCTGATCGAAAAAGGAATACATGTCAACACAAAGTTTGTTTAGCTGTAAAGGTTGTAAGTATTAGAACAATCGTAAAATTCTACCATTATTACCTTTTGTAATTGAAGCAGTCAAAATAATGCTCATGTGATGATCGATCTGCTAAAAGATTTTACGATGCAAAGTCATCCAACGCGGCTTTTGACGATAAGCTTGCTATATGCTTTTAACTGTGGTGATGTTCCACTAACGAGGCAGCATCAACTTATCAATTCGCTCTACTAAAACATAATATAAAGTATGTGTGATATTTGAACTAGGCTGATAGAGTGAACCGGTTGTCACCAAAACGGCCATCGGTAAACAAACGCTTTCTCTGTCCCTTCCAAGCTCGCAGCTTACTGCTAGGTCTGC